TCCCATCATCATTCTCTCTTCTTCTTCCTTTTTTTTTTTTTTTTTTTTTTTTTTCAGTCTTCCATTACTTCACGCAATATCACTTCCCCACTTCACAAGCCCATACCAAAAAGCAGCACTGATGGAATGTACTTCACACAGCGCCCCATACCTCTTTGCTCCTCAATTTACTTCACACACCGCCTCATATCATGCAAGATTTCCCCCACACAGGATTCCGCTTAATCTTTGCAAATTCCATCGCCCTCTCAAAATTCCTCTTCATTAAGATCTACGTAGTGGTGATTTCAGTTGTAGCAATATGGGAAGTATTGATTTTCCCAATGTTCGGATGTTTTGAGTGCCGACAGTCGTATACCGCAGGAAGAAATTGATTCACGAGGGTAATGATTTCAGTTGTATCACCCATAAATCTCGATGTAATTTAATTATAATTTTACCTTTTTTAGATTTAGATTGAATTAGTGTTTTCTCTTGGTAACAAATTAGATTTTGAATAACTTTATTTTTGCAGTTACTGTGAATGAAATAGAAGCATTATATGAATTGTTTAAGAAGTTGAGTAGTTCAATTATAGACGATGGATTGATACCTAAGGTATGACTTTCCCTGAAATGATTTATTTTCAACTAAAGTTTGAGCTTATACATATTATTTTAATCTGAGCTCCTATTAATGGGTTATATAGGGATTTTCAAGAGATATTTATGTGCTAATACTCCTATTTATGCATCCAAGGAACAAGAGATTATACGAACCTGAGTGGGGAAGTAATTGAAAAACTTTTCTCCTGAATAGTTCTCTTGAAGCAATCTCCAATTCCTTTGTATGGTTGTGCTGATTTAATAGAAGATTTTTCGAGCTAATTTTTTTCTTTCCTCTTGTCCTGTAAAGTTTTGTATGGGACTCAACTATCCATATGCACCTACTTCAAATTCTACCGAGCAAAAAGATTATTAGACAAGATCAGGAGAAAGGGGTAGACGCTAGATGTTTAGTAATTAGTCGGATAGCAGATATGCGCTCTTCTCCCACTTCATTTTAAATTTTAAAATATCTCTCTCCCTTTTTTTGTTTGCATATTTCATTTTTCATTTGTGTTTTCGGAAAACTTGGTGGAAATTTTGTGCATTTTTTTGTGAATTGGATGGATAGTGTTAAGAAAAAAAGAGTTTATAATGTTGTTTATTTGCAATGACCTTTTTTTTTTTTAAACCAAACAAAAAAAAAAAAAAAAAAGGGAAGCTCCGTGCGTGCATGGAGCAGATCTGCTCCGTATGCTCCATGCCTCCGTGTGCTGTTGGCACAAAGCAACTATTTTATTTTATTAATTTTTAAGTAGTGGGCTTTGTTTTGGGCCTAAATTTTTTTTTTAATAGATACTATCAAAATACCTATTTTAATTTTATTTTTTTTTGGTTAATAGATAGTATCCAAATACCCATTAATAGTTGACTTGCTACATTTTACAAATGAATGAATTTTTCAAAACATCTTGCTCACATTGATTGATGTGAGGATCAAAGTGAGATATAGTTATTTCATTCTAAGAAGTTCTATTTTGTTTATCAGTATAAAGTTTTTCCCTTGCATAGTTGGGAAAGTCATTTAATAAAAATGACAATATGCAAAACGTGCAGATTCATCAAAATCACATGTTAAAGATTTAAGATATCTATAATAGATGGTAAATCAAAATCCACATAAATCTCAAGTTTTCATTGGAGACACATTTTAGCACATTGTGGGAGTGAAATAAGGACTTCGACAATACAATCAAAAATCCGTATGTTAGAAATATTAAATTCATGACCAAATGCAAGTTGTAAAAGTGAGGCAGCTGGTCTTATACGAATCAATAACGCAACATGTAATATAACATGACCCCAAACAGAAGTTGGGAGTTTCGTTTTCATAAATAATGGTCTAGCAATAAGTTGTAGCCGTTTAATAATGATTTTGCTAAATCATTTTTGTGTATGCACATGTACAACTGAATATTCAATAACAATCTCAGTTGACATACATTAATCATCGGATGCTTATGATCCAAATTCACCAGCATCATCAAGATGAATTGTCTTGATTGAATAATCTAGAAATTGAGCTTGTAATTTTATGATTTGAACAAACGATCTAGCAAAAACTACATTCCTAGTGGAAAATAGGCAGACATGGGACCATCTAGTAAAAAAATCCATTAATGTCATAAAATAACGAAATGTTTCACATGATGGGTATAATAGCCTATATATATTTCCATGAATTCTTTCCAAAAAAGTTGGAGATTCAATATTAACTTTCGTAGTCGAATGTCTAATAATTAACTTGCCTTGTGAATAAGCTAAACATGGATAGTCATTAGATAAAAGAATCTTCTGGTTCTTTAAAAAGCGTCCATGTGAGGTGTTTATTATTTGACACATCATTATAGCTTCTACATGTCCAAGTTGATCATGCCAAAATATAAAACTTTTTGGAAAAACGAACTTTTGGTTCGTAATAATATTTGATTCAATCATTTTTATCAATGTGTATAATACATGCCGGATGGGAGTGCACGAAATTTTTCTTTTATCTGCTTCTTGTCAAATACAAAAGACGTTATGCAAAGATATTCAAATATATGTGGCATATGATAAATTGGAAATTGAAATTGGATTTGATAGAAATTGGATCTATCTAATACATATTTCAATTTCCAATTTATCAGATGTCATAGCCCACATAAATTGGCAACAAGTATTTTGGAAGCATTATTAATCTACGTGGAAGTTTGGAAGGACGTTTATTTTTGACTAAATTGATTTGAGGCGTAACGACATTTCGTAAATGGAAAATGAGAATTACTTTGTTCTCAATTAAATTAATTTGAGACGTTTAACAAACAATAGTGTTAAACTATTTATCGACATTTCAACTAACACTTATTAAAAAGTTGTAATCTAGGATCATTAGTATTAATAAGACACGCCGTCTTGATTGTAAAATCTAAAATAACGTTCATAATTTGAGCAGTAATTTTGCAAATTTCATGTTGCCAACACCATGTAATCATATAGTGTTTATATCAAATCTATTAGATACAAATCATATTTAGATGATCAACATGGACGGTGATAGGGCTCCATTTATCATCTTAATTAATTTTCAAAAATATATGGAGTTCAATCCCTATTTTAACTAGTGCTAGTTAATAAAAAAAATTTATGACAGAGAACAAACATCATATAAGATTTCATTAAATTGAAAAATCTTCTAGCTCTTTATAAAATATCCACTTGAATTTTTAATTTCATATTATTATTAATTCAGTGATGATCTAACTACTCATGCCAAACAATAAAATAAAGTTGAACTTCTGATTCAATATAAAATATAATTTAATTATTTAATTTCGAAGAATAAAATTATTAAGTCATATATAATCATATATCATTTAGAGAGTCAAACTAATCAATGTTCTCGTGAAATTAGTTATATATTTTCAATCAGGAATAACACATGAATTCAAAGTAATATATTCGTAAAAAAATGCGCTATTTCGGAAGCACATTATCTTTACAAAAGTAATATGTCAATATTTTTTTGGAATATTAAAAATTATAATTCGTTCTCTTCAAAAGAGATAAATTGATAATCTTCTTGAATATTAATAATATAGAAAATTAGTTTTCTTTAAAAATTACAATCTAATATTTAGTTGTTTAATTTATGTTTCTTCAAGAACACAATAAGACATATATTATTTGGGATATATGCTATTTCGAGAGCACGTTATATATTACTGCTTTTTCAAGAGCAATAAATCAATATTCTTTCGAAATATTGAAAAATATAATATTACGCTATTCTGGAGCAATTACATATGTTATTTAGAATAATAAATTATGGGCTTATTCGATGGTGATTATGAGAATTAATTTTTTGATCGTTAGATAGAAAAGTAGGTCCCACCTGTGAGAGAAAAAGTCAAAAAGGACAAATGACTTAGGGAAGTAACAATAAGAAAATTAATTTTTGGGGTGAAAAATCAGAATCAAACATACACTATATAAGAATTTACTCTTCAGGAGTGAAAATATAATTTATGTTATATTGTATTTATTATATTCTTTTGGAGAAGTAAAATTCAACTAGATCATCAATATGTAAATGCGTATAAAAAAAATGGATACGTAAAGAAATTAAGTAATCTAATTCAGGATTTTACATAAAAATGAATGTTGAAAATGTAATATCATGCTCTTCAAAAGCAATTAAAATATTAATTATAATGCAATGTTACTTTTGGAGCACCAAAATATTTGTAATATACAGATTTACGAGTAACATTTGGTATTGAAATGTTATGCTCTTTAATAGCAATAACATGTTATTGTTTGAAATAATAAAATGTATACAAATTTACTATTAAGGAGTAAAAACATAATTTATGTTAGATTTTTTTTAATTATGCCTTTTGGGAGCAAGTAAAATCTAACTAGAACATTAATAACAATGTATTATTTTAGGAGTGACAATATTTTATAATAGATAGATATACGAATATTGAATTCATAAAGTATACTCGTATTTAAAAGAACAATAATGAGGTAATTAATTGAATAATAAGCAAGAAGCAAAAATTGAAAGCCCTGCTCCCTGTCCTGGCTTGGGGACAGAGGCACCACCTAAACCTGTACCCAAGTCGAGTCAGGGGCTTTATTCCAAAAATTGATTATGGTAATTGGATATGCACAATTATGATTGCTTACTCTATTATATGATGATTGGACATGCACAATTTGGTGATTGGATTCAAAAATTTGGACACAATAAAAACTAGGTGAAAACCAATTTCCTACGTGACAATGAAAATTAATTGGGCAAAAATCAATTCATGAAAATTAATTATTTGTATGATTAGAGATTGTCAATAGACTACCTTCAAACCAATTTGCTATAAATTTAGGAGAATCATATTAATAACGTATTATAAATTAAAGAGAAAAAAAGGAAAACAAAAGAGAGAAGTAATATTATATTGATTATCAAGACCCATAAATGAAAAGATTGCATTATTATTAATATTTATCTCATAGTTTTAAAACACAAAATAAATTTTTCCATTTTTCTGTACATTTCCCATTCGATTTTCAGAATGGATAATCATCACTTGTATTCATTCGACGAGAATTGCTGGTCTGATCTGATTGATTACAGCAACCTGTTAAACGACGTCGAGCCAATTGATCTTTCGTGGAATCCTCCGCCCCACACCCAAAGGTATTGATTCGCGTCCCAAAAAGAATTATTTAGATCAAATTTTTATCTTTGTTTTTTAATGTTTTTATTATTTTTGGGCTTACCGAAATATAATTCTTTGGCAATGATAATTCCATCTGAACTTGTCACGCGATTTTTTAACCTTTTAACATTAGATTGAAATTTTATTCTTTTAATAACGGAAAAATTTAATCACAACTGATTGATTTTATGATTTGATTTTTTTTTTCTTTTGTATTTGATTTTTCTGCAAAATGTTGGATTTACACATATGGGCTCTATCTGAAACTGGAAAATGCAAGTAAAAAAGAAAAGAAATTTTACTCTCTTCTTTTGTCATGTTAAACTTCTGAAAACTGACATTAGAGTTCTATATCACTAGCAAGAACTAATTACTCTAAATCTTATTTGGTTGAATTTTTTATGCGTTACAATTTATTAGCAAAATGTAGATTTTTTTTTTTTTTTTAACAAAATGTCAGAATTTTTTCGGCCATTTTGTTGCAGTAATGCGGCGGGAGTAGATGTCTCTCTTTGTGGAACTATATCACAAGGAAGTGAATGTGCAGAAAAAGAATGCCTCAGAAACAGGTAATTATGAACACATTTTCCTTTTCTATTTTGGGAAGCTCATATATTCACGTTTTGATAGTCATGAAGGCCTCAACCTTTGTATGCTATTTCAGGGAAATAAATGTAAACTGATATTAAAATGTAGCTAACATATGGAAATGAGGGGGTTAAATAGAATTGAAACTTTAGACCATAGGTTTTAACAATCAATTTACTGCTGAATCTATAACCATGAAAGAAATGATTTCCACAGTTCTTTTAGTCAACGTAAACCATTTCAAAATATTTATCGTACTTGATCAATGTAGCATGTAGTGTTATCCGGAGTCTACACAATTCAGAGTCATTTATCGAACATACTGTAATCTTATTATCTTAGCTAAAATAACTCAAGTTTTTGAATGTTGAGTGGAATAATTTTGAATAAGTGTTGTATTTGCATGTTGTTGAATATGTGTAACAGTGTTCTAGTTTATCTGGGGTTAAAGATGCATTTAGTTGAGATGCTTGAAGAAATATCTTGCTTTCCTAGTAGAACGTGTAATAAGTTGGATTGATTAATTGTTAGCATCTTCATCAGGCATAATTGTGAATATGGGAAGTTCAATCAATTTTAAGACTAGATTCGATGACCAAATTACTCGTATCCTTCAAGTTTTGTTTTATATTTAGACAATTCACTCATTCATAGATGGATTTGGAGACCTTAATATTGTGGCAAATTAGAATAGATTTTAAGGGAGATACGTATCATCTTATTTCTTGCTTCAAAGCAAAGTTTGCTTCCTTCTCTATTCTTAAACTGTGGTGGCACTATACAGGGAACACGGCGATCTGTGCAGAGAAGTTAGAACTAAAGCCTGTCGCGAGAGAATAAGGAGAGAAAAATTGAACAACAGGTAGTCTTATAAATTTATACTAAATGTTTTTCGTGTTTGCTAGTTTTATTACGTGTCATGCCCCCCCCCAAAATGCCTGCATTTTTGTTCTATGCTGCTGAATTGTTTTATGTTTATGTCACCCTTTTTAACATCTAGATGAATGTAATTTTGAATGAACACAGTTTATTTTACTTTCTTGAAAGAAAATGAGAAGACCTTGGTGCTTTGGGTGTCTAAAGTGTACTTTCAGGAAATGAAAATCAATATAACTGTCAGTGATTTCTTCCTTGTAAGAATGATTTTTATCCTCCACACAGGTTCTCAGAATTGTGTGCTATTCTGGAACTGGGGAGACCCGTGAAATTTGACAAATTGGCCATACTTGGAGATGCCATCAAAGTTCTGAACCAGCTAAAAGCTGAATCTGAAGAGTATAAAGAGATGAATGAAAAACTTTTGGAAGAGATCAGGATATTGAAGGTTAGCCAGGATATATATTCAGATAAATTGATAATCCATTTGTTTGTTTTTTTGGTAATGTGGTTCTGCTGGGAGTCTAGTGCATGTGATAAATCCACAGCTTGGCTGATAGTTCGTGTCTATGTTGGTTTATCATGATCATTCATTCATTATATTATCGATTTAAGATTCTTACATTTTATAAAAGGAAGGCTAGTCATAGCGGCCCTTTTTCAAAGCCAGGTAATGAGAAATTGAAAGTTTCTTTCGTCCAACCAAATGAAGCTGCCAGAATTATCTCTTTGAGATTCTTCTTGACATTTCATTCTTTGACGACTGTGCCATTTTAAACACAGAAACTGGTTACAACATATTTAATCGAATGTTTCATGCTATTACATGAAAGAACTCACCAAAAACTTCTGTTAGTTCTTATTTACTTGTACATTGTTTAGGAGTTTCTCTCTCTCTAATTACCTTTCTTTTATCACCATGAAAATAATATAGAAAGAAAATCTCTCCTTTCACGAACGATATTTTAATCATTTAGTCAGAAGAAGATTACTTCCCTCTATGACCATGAAAATATGGAGTTAAAAACAAGAAATGTTCCTTTCTCCAGAGAACAAATTAATCTTGTTTAACATATTTCAGTTGTTGCTGTTCATGACCATGTTTCACGTTCAAAAGTAATAGAACAATTATATGCTGTGCATGAAGTTGTGACCCCTTGACCAGTAAAGAAAAACTGAGTTATACTATGAACTCAACTTATAATGACCTTTTCCATGCTTGGGATTTCATCTTTAGTTCTAAAACAGGCAGAGAAGAATGAACTTCGTGACGAGAAACTTGTACTGAGAGCAGACAAGGAAAGGATGGAGCAGCAACTGAAAGCCATGCCTCTTCCACCTGCCGGGTTCATGCCGGCACATCCACCAGTATATCTGGGCGGGTCAAACAAGATGCCGATGTATCCAGGCTACAGTTTTGTCCCAATGTGGCAGTATCTCCCGCAATCTAACCGTGATACTTCTCAAGATCATAAACTCAGGCCTCCTGCTGCTTGATGCTTTCAAAAGTATGTCTCAAGAATCTTCATCATCCATTGCTGTCTACCAATATCTTTGATATTGTCTTAATTTTTGTAGTTTTGAGTATTGATGAATGACTAGCAATTAATTAGGAGGGAATTGGATAACGTTATTGTATCGACCCAAATTTTAGAACTTAAATTGCTACCAACAGTTTCTTCAAAATTTTAAACAATGATGCATGCAATTTATATAAAATCATGTAAGGATAATTTACTCAAGTTCATTTAAGAAAGCTAGTTTGAAATAATATGTTATAAACCAACTGATCAATTTAATCTTCTTGATAATGCTGAGTAAAATATGCTAAAAACATTGACCGAGACAAGAAATTAACTTTAGGGAAAAAAAAAAAAAAAAAAAACTCAACTTAGGGTATGTCAACAAAGAGATGGACTCGAAAATGAATGCGTTTTATATGAACGAACTACTGCGAAATATAAAAATTGTAAGACGGGAAGCCAGGCGTGAAAAATAACAAAGTCGACTTCAATTTCAAGGAGCAATTCAGATCCACAACGTTAACCCAAAGAATATGCCTAAAGTCATTTAAATGCGTGTATAATTGTAAAACACACACACCAAGAAGAAATAATAATAATATAATTGAATCACAATTCCAAAAAAGATAATAAATTTACTTAAGAAAGCTAGTTTGAAATGGCACAATGACTGCATTTCATCGCTTGCCAATCAATGACTAATTCTAATCCATGAGGAGTTGGGAAAAATGGTGAGTATTTGAGAATGCTCAATATGACAAGAATAATTTGTGCAATCTCGAATAAAAGTATTAAATCATGCATTAAAAATATTATACTGTTGTATTATATCTTTAGAAAATCATATCTTTGATATCAAATGGTCATAACCTACATACAATATCGTATCATATCTTTAACTTTCATAAGCAAAATAACTTAACAGCATGAAAAAAAAAATATATATATATATATTTAAATGGGATTAGAATCGACGGCACCTCGTTATCCTATCTCGTTTAATCAATCAAATTTTAAAAGAAAAAGAATGCACGTTTTCAATATTTATTTTTCTGCCTACTACTGCAGTCATGTGTATATATAAGACATTGCTATATGTATATCAAGTTTTACATATTGAGTTATATAATGTCACATGTCATTCAATCATTTGTTAGTTTAAAATACAGTCAACGTTTTCATTCAATCTTTTATCTTCACATCATTTTATATATCCAATATTTTTTTGCCAACTACTACAATTGTGTGTGTGTATATTCTGACGTGAAAATAAAGAGATAAATGCATAGTATTTAAGTTAAAAAGTCAATTGAATTGTTGGTATAATAAAATTATATAGAGCCTTGTGCCACCACGCAAATAGGGTTGCACAAAAAAATCTCGAAACCGTAAACCAAACTGAAATTGTTGATTTGAAACTGTTGGTTCTGGTCCATGTGGACCTGTGATTTTTTCCCTCTCAAATCGAACCAAACGTTTTAAAATGGTTTGATTTAATCATACAAAACAGAACCGAACCGTTTTTAATTTTTTAATTAAATATTAATTTTATTAACTTATAAATTTTACAATTTTCACTTTTTCAGAAAAAGTACATATTTAACAATACAAATTACAATCGACCCATTTAAATAATCATAGAAAGTACATTAGGTTTATCATTATTGACCCGTGGTTTTAACAAGTTCACAATATATGTTTTCACCAAATATCTAAACTAAACTAAAATTATTCTCAATTCATATGAAATGAAAAAATATATATATTTTCGACAATTCAAATCATAATTCAACAAAACTATGATAGCAAATCACATCTAAAACTTCAGAAGCCATAACATAAACTTTCATTTCCCAAATACTTGATGCTTGTCTACCACTGCTAAATGAATCGTCAGTCGCATTTTGACTGTTAGTCTGCTAATTTTTATCTGAATCACCTCTTTTTCTCTTATCCCTTAGTAACTCTCAAATTCTAATGCAAGCCATTTTCCATTGTTCTTTCTTTTTTATTTGTGGTTTTTAAACTTATTATACACTTGTGAGTTGTGGTTTGAATAGAAAAATTATTGCTTGTGTGTCTAGATGATTAATAAACTTGTTTATGGTCTGAATAGAACGAAGGATATAACTTATTGATTGCGTAAAAATGTTAAAATCCCTAACTGGCACTATTATTATCAATCTTTGTACATCTAAACATACCTTGTTTAATCCTTATTTAACATCTCATTGGCAAAATGAAAGGAGTTTTAACAAAACTATTATAGCATAATGTGATTCTACCTTTACTGACTGCTATGTGACAATATGAAAGACAAGAAAAAAAGGTAAATAAAAATGAAGAAAGATTTATTTGTTCTATTAACATATTTTAATAACCAACTATGAAAAAAATTTATTCATGGGTTACATGGTAAATATGAATGTAATTTAATATTTAATATTATTAATTCTTATTTAAACTTATATGTTAATTTATTTTAAATATATTACTTTGATATCGATAAGTAATCTGCAAATTAAAATCGAACCAAATCGCAAATTATGATTTGGTTTGGTTTGAAAAAATTTCAAATCACATAAAATGGTTTGAGTTGAAAATATAACACAAACTATCCAAACCGACCCGTATTCCCCCCTACATGCAAAGATCATTATTAAGAGTATATTACTACATCATTATCCCATTCAAAAAATTAAAAATACAAATATATTTGTGTGTGTATATATTTGTGAACTCTAAAATTTAAAACGTACCAAATTAGGATAGAATCCATGTTGGAATTTCAAAAGCCATAAAATATTTTTAAATATTCAGCAATCTACCAATATTTTTTTTATGTGTGAATAGTGACCCTTTCTTTTCTTTTCTTTTTTTCCTTTTAAAAAAAAAAATTCTAATTCATTTAAAATTCTAAGAGTTTTATGGGTTTACAGAAAAATTAAACATCAGCTCTGATATCAAACTGTAACAATTCACATTTAGAACTTAAATCACTACTAAAAGTTTCTTAAAAATTTTGAACAATGCGGCATGCAATATATGTAAAATTATGTAACAATAATTTACTCAAATTCATTTAAGAAAGCTAGTTTGAAATAATATGTTCTAAACAAACTGATCACTTTAATCTTCAAAGACGTTATTGGACAGGGCACCATGTACTGATCAATTTAATCTTCAAAAATGCTAGGCTAACAGGGTATTTGACAGGGGATTGGACAGGGCACCATGTGTGGCGCCCTGTCCAATTTCCTGTCAAAAAACCTTATTTGAGTGGCTTATTCCTTTAATCTTCTTGATAATCATGAGTAAAATATGCTATTTGACCGTGACAAGAAATTAATTTTAGGAAAAAAAAAAACTCTCAACTTAGTATATGCCAGCAAAAAGAAAGATATACACAAATATCAATACGTTTTATAGGGCTAGACAAAAAAAATCGTGAAATCGCCAATCGAACCAAAACTGTTGAGTTGAAATCGTTGGTTTGGATCCACATGAACCTGTTGCTTTTTCCCCTCAAACCGAACCAAATTATTTCAAAATAGTTTGGTTTGGTTTAGTTTTTTATTTTAAAAACCGCACAAAATCAATTCGAACTGTTTTAAAATTTTTTAATTAAAATATTAATTTTATTAACTGAAAATTTTTACAATTTTTACTTTTTAGAAAAAAATACTAATTTAGCAATACAAATTATAACTAGCCTATTGAAAATAATCATAGAAAGTAAATTAGTTTCATCATTATTGGCTTATGATTTAATAAGTTCACAACACATGTCATCACCTGATATCTAAACTAAACTAAAATTATTCCAAAATCGTATGAAAATGAACAAAAAAAAATATATTTTTTCAACAATCCAAATCACAATTCTACAAAACTACGTCAGCAAATTATGTCCAAAGTTTCAGAAGATCTAACATAAACTCTCATTTTTCTAATATTTGACGCTTGTTTGCCACTGCTGACCGAATTGTCAGTCTCATTTGCTTGTTAATCTTTTAATTTCTACCTTAATCGCCTCTTTTTCTCTTCTCTTTTGGTAAGTCTTAGATTCTCATTTAAGCCATTTTTTCATTGTTTTTTCTTTTATTTGTTGTTTTTGAATTTATTACGAACTTGTGAATTGTGGTTTAGATAGAAAATAACTGTTTGCGTGCCTAGATGATTAATAAACTTGTTTGTTGTTTGGAAAGAACGAGGGACAGATCGTATTGATTGTGTGAAAATGTTAAAGTTTCCTAGCTAGTACTACACCTTCTACTTTCAAAAAGTTGTTAGAGAATGAAATTAGTCAATTCCCAATAAGTTAAAACTCTATAAATCTTTGTACATCTGAATATATCCCGTTCAATCATTTTTTAACATCTTACTTGCAAGACGAAATAAGTTTTAACCAAACTATAATAGCAGAATGTAACTTTACCTTTACCAACTGTTATATGACAATATGAACATCAAATAAGAAAATGTAAATAAAAATGAAAAAAGATGTATTTGTTTTATTAACATCTTTAAGTAACCAACTTTGAAAATAATTTATTCATAAGTTTCATAGTAAATATGAATGTAATTTAATATTTAACATTATTAGTTCTCGTTTAAACTTATACGTTAATTTATATTAAATATATTACTATAATGTTGATAGACAAACTGCATATTAAAACTGAACCAAACCGTAAATTATGGTTTGATATGGTTTGGTTTAAAAAATAAAATAGTTTGGTTTGAAAAAATCTCAAACCGCATAAAATGGTTTGAATTAAAAATGTAGCACAAATCGTCCAAATCGAACGGCGTTCACCCCTCGCGTTTTATATAAACGAACTAACGCAGAATTTATAAAAACTGTAAGACAGATTCAGACGTGAAAAATAACAAAGTCAACTTCAAGTTCAACGATCAAGTCAGATCCACATCGTTAACCCAAAGAATATGCCTAAAATCATTCAAATTCATGTATAATTGTAAAACACACAAAATAAATAAATAAAATTGATAATAATCATATAATTGAATATCACTACCAAAAAAGAAAATAAATTTACTCAAATTTACCTAAGAAAGCAAGTTTGAAATGGCATAACGACTGCACATCATCGTC